GGTTATTTTTCTCACCACAGCTCAGACTGTCCTCCCCGTCGGGCACTCGCTGATGCAGGGCGCTGAGTGGACACACCCCTCCCGTCCTCAGACCAGGGCGACCACTCATCCCCGTTTCTGCCTCTGTCCTGGCTTAGACCACGCGCCCGGCCCTCCAGCTCCCAGGGCATGAAGATGCGAGAAAGACCTTATTAGCAGCGGTGCCCTAGGCCAGCCTGGCCCCGCGGGCTCATTTTCAGCCCGTATTTAAACTGTCCTCTCATAGGGCGTCTACCTTCGCCCCCCTTAGCCAGGTCTCTCTTCGGGGGGAAGCCTGCGTTTCCCTCCCCTCCGCTCCCCGGCAGGTGTTTCGGACCCCTACACACTTGCTCTCGACTTTGGACTTGCATCAAGCGCTTAGATTTTAACACTCACATTGATCCAGTGTCACGCGCTCCACCCTAGCCCCATCTTTTTACCAGACTGGGGCTGGGCTTGCTGGTGTCTTCTGCGTTTTCCTGAAAGCAGCAGGTTCTGATTCCTTCACCTAATCATACCGCGCGGCCGTGATTGTCTTTGGGGCACGTGGCGCTGTTATGGGGCTAGGGGCTGCTTGTGCCTTCCAGGTGGGTGCTCATTTGAACCCCGAGTTCTATCTGGGCAGGGCCGGAGCCCCCTTCCATTCAGCCTCAGAACCTGGCCTGTGTGTGGAAACTCAGCAAGTTGTTAAATGCTGGCGGGGGTCTGTGCGCCCCTTGCTGTGGTTTCGTTTCTTTTTTTTAATGATTTATTTATTTGTGCATACAAGAGCTGGGATATAGCCCAGCAGTGTGGGGGGGTGAGAGACCAGAGACAAAGCAGGGAGCCGAACAGGCAGGCTGACTGAAATGCACTGCTGAGGGGAGCAGTAGGTGAGGCAGGAGAGGTCTGCTGCGCCATGTGGGTAGCTCCCTGGGCATCTGGGGATCGAATTCTTGCTGCAGAGGCTGCAGATAGCTTCATAGTGCTTAACCCCTTGCGCCACCAGGGAGGCCCTCCTTGCTGTGAGGGGGCCAGGGCTGACTGCTCCTGGGTGGGTCTGTCTGGTGTGGAAGGGTGGCCATGCCCCGGGATGCTAGTACTTGTGGGGCGGCCCGGATTTGGGCCCTGAGGTGGCCCACAGAGGCTGCAGGGCTGTGCCATAGCAGGTGGTTCATCCTCACCGCGCAGGACACCACGGCTGAGAGTTGTTCAGAGAGGGCGCACGAAGGCCTGTTGCTGCGGGTGAGCTGACAGGAGGCGTCCCTGGGAGCTGCCAGCCTGGGCAGCCTTGAGCTGCCTGCACCTGGCTGGATGTGGAGCACTGACCACTGACCCCCTGGGCTGGGTTCCTTGTGGCCAGTGGCCTCTGCATGCACCGGGTTGGGTTTCTTGGTTCCCTACTCGCTGGATCTGTTCTGTTGTGATTCCTAGTGGCTCGCCGCGGTCACGGCCTTGACTTCCTCAGCACTGGTAGTTGTGTTATCGGTTCTGGTTCTAGAGCTGCTCACAGCCACTGCAGCTGGCTGGTGGGGCTGTTGTGCCCTCGAGCACCCATCTAGACGCGGGGACCTGGGCAGGAGGCCCCCTGTTTGCCCAGCTCCTACCAGCGCTGTTCTCATTTTTCACCACCAGGGCAGGAAATGGAGTCTGTGCCGGTGCTAATTCTCATGGGTCACACAGGGTGAGGGGACCGGCTCCAGTTCTGGTGCATCTGTCCTCAGCCCCTTGGCCCAGCTTCTCCTGCGCATGCTGCTGTCTGTCTGTTTTGCTGAGCTGGCTTTGCTTCCTCGGTCTCAGCCCCATCCCTCCTGGGGGGTTCAAATATTCCTTCTGGCTTTGGGGGCTGCTCCCCTGCTAGGGGAGATGAACAGGTCTCCCAGGAGAAGGTGACAGGTTGACAGGTCCATCCTGAAACAGAGAACGTGTCAACTGGGGAGTCAGCGTCTAGAGAAAGGTGGCACAGAGCAGGTCTCAGGGGCCAGGACCACCCTGCTGGCCATGTGGCTCTGTTCCCAGGGCCGCCTGCCACCCCTGTCCTGGGACGTGGTCTGGGATCCAGCTCTGATGTCATGTTTCCCAACGTCAGAGCCTCTCAAACATTCTATCAACCAATAGCATGTGTTTCTGTGACTTGAGACGCAACAGCTCATGTCCTGTGAGCCTGGAATTCCAGGCAGGCATTGGGGTGGCATCCCGGCCCTTCCCTTACCTGCCTATTGTCTCTCCCGGCTGGGTACTTGACCGACCCGTCGCGTCTGCATGTGCATGGCTGACTTGGGGCTGGCTCCAGTCGTGACACCTTCCAGAGGCTCTGGGGCTCCATCTGCCCCCCAGCCAGAGTGCTGCTGCCTTGTATGACCTGGGACCCTAGCCAGGCAGGTCACCGGCTGCTCACTGCTGCCAGCCCCCGGCTGTAGCAGCTTCAGGGGATGTGAGTGTCCCTTCAAATGACTGTCAGGTTCTTCAGATGGTTTTTCTACTTAAACCCCTCAACGAGCAAAACTTATGAAGTAGCGCCTGCATTTCTCCGCCTCCTTCAGGGCACCCCAACTTTCATTGCCTCGCAAGTACCCCTTTCTGGTTTGTGAACCAGCAGGGCCTGGGTTAACTCTCAGGCTTTGAAAGGTCTCACCTCCGTGTCTGGTGCTGGGGTGGGAGGGGGCCTTTGGCCGCCATTGTTAGCTTTTCATCGCTGATGCTTCTTCACACAGCTCCCCCCTTCCCAGTCAGAGTCCCCGTCTCGCACACAGCCCAGGGGTGGTCAGACAAGGGGCCTTGAGTCCAGGCCCCTGGGCCCTGCCCTCCCCAACCCCCGCCCCCCCTCGCCCAGCGGCTGGGTCTCCACTTGCGAAGGGAAGCTGGACCTGGGAGGAGCCTCAGCCCGCTGGCTTGGGCACATCAGTGACCTTGGGGAACCTCCAGTCTGTGAACTGGCCACGGGCTAGTATCGTCCCGCCACATTTTCTTGATTTGCAGGGAAGTCGGGGGAAAGGCAGGCCCCACATGTATGTATGAAAGAAAGTCAGCCTCCAGCCTTTTTTGGTGCTTCAAGTTCAAGGGCAGGTCTCTGAGAGGCTCACCCGAGAGGGCTGGTAATTCCTGGAGGCTTGTTCTGCAGAGGCTCGGCCCTGGCTTCTCCCTCCTTCCCGCCTGCCAGCCCCAGGGAAAGTGCCGAGTCAGCACCCCCGGCTCCCGCCCCCTCTGGGCGGCTCACAGTTTTAGCACAGTTGCAATCCGTCCGTTGTAACCACAGCGCACGCACGCACACGTACACACACGCTCATGTGCCAGGCCCCCTGCGCGCAGCAGGCACCCAGCTCCTCTGTGAGGACGCGCTCTTATGCCTGCCTCCCCCGGAGCCGTCTTGGCCAGGAACTCGCGACTGTCTTAGGACTGAGTTTGCCCAGTTTAAAGCTCCGCCCAGGCCTGGGGTACCCCCTCCTCCTGGGAAGGCCCGCAGCAAGTCTCGTTTCTGGCCAAACATCATTTGGGAATCTGGGGCTCTCTCCACCCCAGGAATAGCATGTGCTTAAGCCAGGAATCTGATGGGAGACGCGAGGTGGGCTCTCTGCCCTGAGGCTGAGGGAGACGCGGGCCTCCTGGGACCCTGTTCCTGAGCATGACGGCGGTCAGGCTGTGTCCGCACTGTCAGACTCTGCAGAGGGCACCGGTGGTTCTGAGAGCAAATGGGGAGCGGGGTGTGAAGAAAGGGGAAGTGCCAGTTCCTGGGTAGAAGTGTGAGATCTCTTGCCTTCCTGCTGGCACCGCAGGCAGAGCGGTCTCTCTCGCCCGCTGGAAGGGCCGTGGTGCAGTCAGACCTGATCGCTGATCAGCATCTGTGTCGTTTCTTTGGCGCGGCGGGGAGGCCCTCATGTGGAGGGGGCGCCCTGCACAGGGCTCGGCTCTGAAGGGGGCCTGGGCCTGTCAGGGCCCTGGCACCCTGATGTTCCCCCGCATCGACTGTCCTGGTGTCTCAGTGCGTCCTGCCGCGACGCACTGTCTCCCTGTCTTCAAAGGCCTCTTGACACTCTCTGCACTTTAGAACCCCCCGCATTCCAATTGGTCACCCTCTGACGCCTGAAGTGGAAATCCTGACCTCGAAGCAGTCACTGGCACTAGCTTCAGCTCCTCTTGCGAACATCTAAAATGCACACTTTAAGAAAATGGGCCCAATAAGTAACTGGAAAGACCTAGATGTTAGTTCGGGCCCTCGGGGGCTCTGCGCGGGGCAGGGGCCGCCGTAGCCACGGCCAGGCTGCGCACAGGCTCCTCTAGGCAGAAGAAAAGGTCAGCACATGCTCGGCGAAGGGAGTGTTTGTAAACTCTTCTCTGAAGAAGGCTTCCCGGGGAACCCCCCCGAGAATCAGCAAGCGGCATTTGGGGGGTGAAGACCTGCAGGGAAAAACCCCATCTACCATGGGGCACCCCCTGAGACCTAGGAGGACCGGGGGGCGCATCTGCTTGTAGTCACAAACTCTGCGAACGTGTCCCTGAGGGGTCCCCGCTGAAACGCGAATCTGAAGCCCCCCCCTTCCTCATCGAGCTTCCTGGTGAAATAAGAGGGCGCTTTGCTATAAACCTTATGACCTTTGGATGGTCTTAGAACAACACACCAAAAAAAAAAGTTAAAAATTTACAGACTTGAAAGAAAAAAACGGCAACTTTCTGATAAAAGATTAAGAGTGATACGCAAAATATTAACCAAAGAACGAAAATGTCAAACCACGGTTCTGGGCGGGGGTTCCCAAGGCGGGTCATAAAGCAGGGGGAAGCCAAGGCGGAGCGGGGACCCAGGACCGCGGCGGGGCGCACGGCCCTCGCCTGGACCCGCGCGTGGTGGGTTTGGCGGTCGCGCGCCTCTAGACGACGGGCGTCGTGCGTAAACCTCACCCTCCTTGACTTAAAAACAAAAGTTTGACTTAAGACCTAGAAGGGCCGGGGTGATCCTTGCACCTGAGCGCGCCTGTTGGGGGGGGGTGGGGGGGTGGTGCTGCCCGTCCTGTCTGCTCCGGGGCTTTACCTCAGGACAGATGTCTGCGCTAAGGGCTGTTAGCACATCAGAAAGTGTTTGCTGAGCCTGGAAATGGGTTAGCCCTTCCTGGACGTTGACCAAAATACATATTGTAGGGTTATCAACCCCTCCTACAGTGGGGGAGCCTGGCAGGCGGGGAGAGGTGCCAGAGGACTCAGGATCCCCCCAAACAGCCCATCAACAGTTAGACTTTTTCTTTCTTTTCTTTTCTTTTTTTTTTTTTTAACCAAACCCAGAATGTATGTTTCAATCCAGGGATTCCTCGGGGGAGACCCTGGGGTGGGAGGAGGCATCTGGCTGACAGTTGGAACGCTCTTAGGGTGACCCTGAAATGCATGTGTCTTGACTTTGTTGCTCGGGAATCGTGGCAAATTAAGGGGTGGCTGGTTTCTGTGGACCTGTCAGAGCTCCCAGGGGCGAACCCACAGGGTGTGAAGAGAGAAGAGGTGAGGGAGAGAGGACACTACAGGCAGATGGATGGGGGCGCTCCGGGAGGCGACCCTTCATCCAGGCGTCATCCCAGGTGCTCCCATCAGTCACTCAGGTTCCAGGGTTCGCCTGCCCCCGCCACCTGCGTGCAGGGCACGCCGTGGGTGCTCGGTCACTCCCGAGTCCCTGCAGGGCTCCGCTGTTTGGGCACAGCTGCGCTGCAGTAGCCCAGTGCAGGTGGTGGGCGGGGTGGGCCCCGTGGCCGCGCTGGGAGGTCACCTGTCTGTCGAGCTTCACTCTAGATTCCTGCTGTCCCACCCCACCCCCAGCATAAACTTGGCTAAAATTTTATTTAATTTTTTGGACCAGTTGCTTTATCTCTCGTGCCCTCTCAGAGGGCCATACGTGTATAAAGTTCTCCCCAAATTTGCTAAATGATTAACAGCGACTGGGCCGGTGTAACGAGGCCAGACTAAAGCACTGACCTTTATTTTGTAGGTGGGAGGCTCAGATGTGCGCGAAGGAGAGATTTTCAAGGAAACAAAGTGGGTGAGGACAGGGAAATAGAAACTCGTAGGATTGGGAGTTGTTTTATCTGTCAGGGTTTACTAAGGAGTCCTTAGTTTATCTCGTGTAGCTGCTGTGTTTGTCACAAGTGGCTCTGAGAATTAAATTAGACGCAGCTGATGAAAGCTGGTGCCTGTTAGGCAGTTTCCCTTCTTTCTCTTCTGCTTTTAAAAATTAAGACTTGGGCATACTCTAAATGAAGCAAATAATACAAATGTGTGTCGGTGTGGGATTTGGGCCTGTAAAGAAGGGGCAGGGAATGCAACAGCCAGAAGTGGGCAGGTTCAACTCCATGCAAATGCAGCAGGCTTTGGAACGACAATCAAAAAAGTAAAAAATGTGCTTTAAATACATTTAAAAAAAGGCTTCCGGGAACATCATCAGTCTGTTAACCAAATATTTCAGGCTCCATCTGAAGCCTGGAAGCCCAGGAATTTTGGAAATATGGCCCTTTTTGCATTTGCAGTGGTAGAAACCTCAAACTTCCTGCTCTGGAAAGTGGGGGTGGCCACGGGGCTGTGTTTTTGAATGAAGAAAAGGGCTTTTTCTGTCCCTGGGTGGGTGCTGCCACCTGGTGTCTGTAAGCGGGACGGCGACTCCAGCTCCCCGGGCATCGCCGAGGGTAAACTGAGCGAGAGGCTCTTGTTTCGGTTGAGGCTTCCAGGATAGGGGGATGGGGTTTTGAGGCCCACTTAGCCTGGACATAGATTTTTTTTTTTGCAGTGGTGAGGCATGGACTCCTTGGTTTTTCTTCCTTTTACTGTAGAGCTCCTGAGTGTGGGTGCTGCCGCATTCTGGACCTCCGCCCTGCCGGGTCCGGTGGACCGGCCTCTCCTGGACGTGCTTTCCAGGGGCCTCCTGGTGAGGGGCCGTGTGAGCTGAGTGCAGCCTGAGCCACATACTGTGAAAAGGAGCCAAACCCTGGATCTCAATATTTGCAGCTTTCTTACTATTTGGTGAACTTACGGTGTCCGCTCATGGCTTGCTCTGGGCAGATGTTTACTAAGGAGGCCGGATTCCGGAGATGCGGAGATGGCGTGGGACCCCAGCCAAGCACGGAGGGACTTTTGGACAAGAGTAAATGTAAATAGTAAAGAGGGTTTTATGCGACTGCTGAAAGCAAGCCCGGACCCTCGCAGAGCAGTGGTGATGCGGCGGCTCCTGGCGAGTGGCGGGGCGGGCGGGGGGAGCAGCGTGGCTGGGAAACCAGTAGCCTCGGTGGGACTAGCCTGGGCCGGGCCGGGTGGGGGGTGCCCGTGTTGGGGTCCGGGAAGATCCTAGGGTTGCCTAGGGTTGCACACCTGCCACGGCCCCGGGAAGCTTTGACATTTCAAGTCCTCACCTGTTTACTGGGAACGGAGGACCTGGGGTAGCAGAGGCTGGGCGTGTGCTGGGACCCAGGGGACCTGGACCTCAGGGTGACTGAGGAGGTGGCGCGGGCTTGTGGGGTCAGGATCTGCCAGCAGCTGCAGGAGCCCCTAAGCCTTCCCTGGAGGTGCCGCTGGCCCCTGACCTGTGCAGGGGCAGAGGGTAGGTCTGTGTGGGCGAGGGCGGCGTGGCAGAGCCCTGCTGTCGGGTGACCCTCGGCCGTCCCTCCTGAGGAGAGTTGGCGATCGTGAGGCTGTGAGGAGGGGGCAGGAAGGAGGTGTGAGGGTTGTGAGCACAGAGCTTGACTCTGGGGAGGCTGTGGGTACCTTGTGAAGCTAGTTCTTGGCAAAGGCGGTGGAGACAAGGCCCAGGGAGCTAGAGGGGGTGAGGGCTGGGGAAGGGGAGGTCTAGGGCCCTGGCCCCCAGGCTTCGGGGGAGCTGGGCTGGGGTGGGAGTGGGGCACGGTGTATTCCCAGGAAACCCAGGAGAGTCAGCCGCCGGGGCCCTGACTTGGCCTTCTACCGGGTGTCGCAGGGAAGCCGGACACCAGATCTCGCTCTGGCTCTGGCACCAACTGCCTTGGTGGCCACGAACAAGTCACTCAAGCCATCCCTGTCAGCTTCGGTGGGGTGAGCCAGGGAGGCGGGCAGCCTGGCTCATTTCCGTGGCTCTCAGCTGCTCTGCAGCCAGCGGATGTCCTGGCGCCCCTAGTAGGGGCCCCTCCAGGAGCCTGGCCTGGGGAGCTGGGCACCTGGCCACTTTGTCAAGTTAGCAATGCTCTGTTCACCCCAGAAAATGCAGCAGGGTGTCTAGATGGAAAACATTTGATGGGAAACCGCGATCCCTTTGTTGTAGAAAAAGACTTAAGTCATATCTCACGGGGAGCCTGGCATGCTATATAGGAGAGGTGGGTATTCCTGGGAGGCCACATGCAGGATCGCTGGTCTCTGTGCTTATTAGTATTTCCAAAGTGCCCTAATAGGAGTGGGCATTTCTTTTGTAAAGAGGAAAAAACATAAAATTTACCTTAAAATGTTTCATCCCTTTTTTAAAAAAAAGATTTATTTATGCATGTAAGAGCTGGGGTGTAGGCCAGAGGTGCCATGGGGGTGCGTGTGAGAGAGGATTGACCAGAGACAGAGTGGGGAGCAGAACAGGCAGACTGACTGAAACACACTGCTGAGGGGAGCAGCGGGCCAGACAGGAGAGGTCTGCTGCACCGTGTCTGTCAGCAACCTGGCTGGGGATTGAATTCAAGCCACAGTGGCTGGCAGTAGCTTGATAGTGCTGAAATTTGAACTGCGCCACTAGGGAGACCCTATGTTTCATCCCTTCTAACGGACACTTGGGGGCTCCTGCTAAGCTCCCCATTCCCTAGATCACAATCATGAACCTGTACCCCTTTGCTTCCACAGGAAGGACAGCAGCATGGCCAGCGTGCTGTCCCGGCGCCTCGGTAAGCGGTCCCTCCTGGGAGCCCGGGTGCTGGGCCCACCCGGGGCTGCCCCAGCCCTGGAACCTCAGGCAGAGCTCCTGGAAGGGCCATCTTCCCAGCCCGGCCTCGCCTCTAAGGACACTTACCGCCTGGAACAGCCCAAAGAGGTCCTCAAGGGCCCCTGCCCCTCAGGCCTGCCGCCTGTGGTCTTTCAGCCTGGGCAGAAGGTAGGTTGATCCCAGCATGGCCAGATAACCCATCTCCCCAGGCCTGGGACCAGGTGGCGGGTGGAGCCCCGAGTGACAGGCTGGAAACTTCCTGGGCATTGGCTAGTATACTGGCCTGCCTTGGAGAGGTCAGCACACCCCTCCACCTTCCCTGGGGGTCCTCAGGTTGACTCCAAATCCTCTGGAGGGAAAAATGCAAGGTGTAAGCAGTTCAAGGCAATACTTGGGCACCAACAGATAAATAGGACTCGCAGGGTGAGGCAGCACAAGAAATGAGGAGGGACATAGATTCCCAGTTCACTTGAGTGGAGAATTTAGTCCCTTTATATTAATGTAGTTATTGATGGATAAGGACTCTTGCTGTTTTGGTCACTGTTCCCTGACTGTTTCGTTGTTCCCTTGTTCCTGTCTTTCTCTCTTCCTTGGTGATTTGTTGATTGTGTAAGGGTCTGATGCCTTTATCTTTTTGTGTAGTCACCAGGGAGTTTTTTTGTCTGTGGTTACCATGGAACTTAGAGAAACTATCTTATAATTCTCCCCCCCCCCCTTTCTCTCTCTCTCGACAAGAGAAAACATTAAAAATAAAAATAAATTTAACAGTAACTTGTATAACTTCTGTATACAAGGGAGAGACCCAGCATGACTGAGTCACCCAGTGGCTTCAGGTGCTACTGGCTACAGAGGGGAGGCTTGGAGGGAAAGAGAAGGTTAGGGAGGTTACAGGGAAGGCACAGAAGATGCAGGCAAGCAGACTACAGGCTTCTTTAAGCTGATAACAACTTCAGTTGCATGGAGATTCCAAATTCAGGAAAATGAAAAAATCCTAGAGACGGTCACATTGTTCCTTCCACCTGGAGAGCGTGTGAGGGTCTGATTTAGGAAGCCCTGATTCCGTGTGGGTTGTCTGGGCGCGCCGATGAGAACCAGGACCTGGAGCATCTGCTTGAGGTAAAAGTGAGAGAGTGTCGAGGATGCAGCTGGCGGCAGGTGATCCGGCTCCTGGGCTCGGGGTCTGTGCGGCAAGAACCTCCAAACACTGCAGCCGGCTCTGTTTTCTCCCCAGGTTTACGTGTGGTACGGCGGTCAGGAGCGCGCTGGGCTGGTGGAGCAGCACAGCTGGCCCGAGGACAAGGTGACCGTCCGGCTGTTGGAGCAGATGGCCCAGGTGTGCTGCAGAGCGGAGGAGGTGTGGCTGGCCGAGCTGCAGGCACCTGCCCCGGAGCTGGGGGCACAGGCACCCGCCTACAGGCCTGTTTCTCGGAATATCGACGTCCCCAAGAGGTTCGTGTGGGAGAACTGGGCTCTGCAAGTCCTAGGGTGGGGGTGTCCTGATGGGGATGGAACGTGGGAGCTCTAGATCTCGTGGTCAAGGTATTGGATCAGGCGATGCAGAGGCAGGGCGTCCTTTAAAAACACCCAGGGTGGCACCTTCCTTCCCCGACACTCTGGCGGGTCATAGGCACATCTTGGGGTTGGCTAAGGGCTGTGCGCCCCTCCTTCCTCCTCCAGCTAAAGCACGTGCGTGGTGTTTCCGTGATGAGAGGTGGGGAGGGAGCGGCTCAGACCAGGAGCCGGCAGACTTGTTCCGAGTGGGCCGAGAGTGAGGCAGGTGGGCCCTGGGGCCGGCCCTTGCCTCCGCTTGGCCGTGGGCGAGAGAGTTTGTGAAGTTTGCGAACCTCGGGCTCGGCCGTCCTCCGTGAACGGCTGCGGACACTCAGGTTTCACTTGTGTTTGGTTTTGATGTGTCACAGGCCGAGGAGTGATACTCTTTTGATTTTGACGACCATTTGAACGTTGTGAAACCAGCTTTAGCTCTTGCGCCAAACAAAAACAGGAGGCCCGAGGCCGCAGCTGGCGGGTCTCCTGGAGCCGAGGATCCCCGCTGGGGGATGGAAATGCTGGTGGGCTGTGGGTTTTGTGCTAGGCGCTTTCCCTGAGAGGCGCTCTCCTAGTTTCTGGGCTGCTGGTTTCCACCCACCGGTCTCTGGAGATGAAAGAGGGAACCCGCCTCGAGACTGCCTCTGCCGGCTGCTTGGGCCGTGACGCCCTCAGCCCCGCCGCCCCGTCGGTGTGTTCCGAGACCGGAGCAGAGGAGCAGCATTAGTGACTGAGTAGTCGATGGCAGGCTGGCGAAGAGCTTGTGCTCTCTTCTGTGGAGGCAGAAATGCAAAGGTCACACTAAAGGGAGGTGCTGACGTGCCTGGGCTAGTACGAGTCTCCGCCTCGTGCTTTCAAACCCGGCTGCGTGTCGTCGTGGGTCCGAGTCGTCAGGCTGCAGGCACACAGCCCTTGACCCCGGGAGCCCCCGGAAATAGGCTTCACACGCACTTTCCCTCTTGAGTGTTAACTCAGAGACAGCTCAAGTTTTGTTTCCAAGTAATGTCGCTTTAAATGGAGTTGTTTTTTTTTAAGATTTATTTTGGCATACAAGAACTGGGGTACAGGCCAGAGGTACGAGGCGGGGAGGTGAAAGGATTCACCAGAGACAGAGTGGGGAGCAGAACAGGTGGATCTACTGAAATACTCTGCTGAGGGGAGCAGTGGGGAGACAGGAGAGGTCTGCTGTGCCCTGTGGGTAGCTCCCTGGGGGAGCTGGCCGGGGATCGCACTCATACTGCAGAGGCTGCGGATGGCTTCATAGTGCTGTGCCTAACCCCTTGCACCATTTAAGGGGGGCCCTTAAATGGAGTTTTAAAGAAATTGTGTATGCAGTTTTACACGACTCTGGGGAAAGCCAGAGGATGGCATGGGGAGACTTACATTCGTGTTTCTGGCTTACTGCTCTTTGGTGTATGCACTAGGTCCTGTTGACAGTCACACTGTCAGAGCTGTCGTCACTTTCCTCCGTGGGTGGGCACTTGGTCAGTGTAATTGTGTAATTGTTCCCCCTTAAATTGAAAGGTGAGACGGGGGCAGGATGGTGATTGTGGAACCCCGGCAGGTGTCTCTACCCACGCTCTGTTTCATTGCTTAGATTCTTCCTCCTCGCCCCAAATAAAAGTCTCCAGGATAGGCTGCAGATTAGGGTTAGAGCTTGAATTTGGGGGAGAATGGAGCTGCTTCAGGGTGTCGGCGGTGGGATGGGGCCGGCCCCCCGCTTCCTGAGGCGGCCTGATCCTGTAAACATAGCTAAGAATGAGTGTTTTTCACCAAGAATGTGGCGAGACTTTCTTACTGTAACTTTCATTAGTTGAGCACGAACTGGCTGCATGGAGGGGGGTGTGGAACCATCTAGAAGAGCGTCAGGAAGTGACTTTGGCTCTCACACCCCCTTGTTTGATTCCAGGAAGTCGGACGCAGTGGAGATGGATGAGATGATGGCGGCCATGGTGCTCACCTCCCTGTCCTGCAGCCCGGTGGTGCAGAGTCCCCCCGGGGCCGAGGCCAGCTTCTCAGGTGAGGACGGTCTGGCCGCCTGGAGGCCACCACTGCTCGAGCAGCTTGTGGCCTAAGTCGCTGGACCCTCTTCTCACTGGGAGAAGACTATGAAACAAACCCCAAACTCAGTTTCATCCACGAATGTCCAAGTCACAAGCTGGACAATGGCCGTTCCTCTGCCTTAGACCCTAGCAGTTCCTGGGTGGGTCCGGGGTCAACCAGGAAAGGGCACTGCTTGCTCTGTGCCGCCGTGAGAGCCAATGAGCTTTCTAGAGACTCACGGCCCCCTCTGTCCTCTGCTCGCACATTTGCACCACAGATTCGAGGGAGGTGGTTTCTGCAGATCTGCCCAGCAGTAGAGCAGCTTTCGCTGCAGCACTGACCTCAGCCTGCAGAGTGTTTCAGAACAGTTAGCTGCCAAGGGTGCCTCTGTTTCCACTGATGTCAGCCTGAGCTCAGAGGTGTTGCATCAGCAACACCACACTGATGAGTGGGAGGTGTGGAGCAGGCTGCACAGAGCAGGATGCTGCTGAACAAGCAAGATCCTGGCCTTTTTATTGATAGAATGATCACGTGGCATCAGATCCATGGGGTAGGAGGGCAAAGAGAGAAAAATGGGTGAAGCTAAGGAATGTGCTTTTGCTGTCTAGGGCTTTGGGGGTCTACTGACTCCCCAAGATAATTCTTACCTGCTTGATGACCAAGTGTTGTAAGGGAAACCATACCCCAGGCCCCCAGCCGTGGTTCCAATCTTATCAACAAGGCGTCCACCGATCAGTTTTTCGGGACCCTCCCTGTCATACCTCGGTCCTCGGCCCCCCAGGCGTTCCCAGTCATACCTCGTGTTGCACACCCTTCCCGGGGCGAGCAAGCTTTCTGCTCTTGGTTGATTCGAAAGGCACCTAGTAAGGTTTGGCGCCGATGGCTGACTGGCCGGGCAGTTCTGACCTCGTATAGGCATGCAGAACTGCGGGTAAGAAAAATGGTGGCCGAACAGGCTGCTTAGGTCTAGCAACCCACACAGAGGCGGGCTGAACTGCAGGTGCTCGTGTTAGAAAGGGTCGGAAGACATCAGGATCATCGTATGTTACCCGGGGATGTGCTGGGGCGTTGCACACACAATCTGATGGCAGTGTGACCTGCTTGTTTGGGTTTCAGTGGCGTTTCTCACGCCAGCCTGGTCAGCATGCCCCGAACATGGCCGTTGTGCTACCTCCGTCGTAGGGAGAGCTGCTCCGGGCACCCCCGGGGTGACTCTCACCATCCCGGAGGCTCAGAGGCAGGAGACCCCCCCCATGCCCCACTGCTCCCCCTACTGTCCCCCTTCACGCCGGGTCTGTCTCATCACGGCCCACGCCGGGCGGTGTGCTCAGCGCGCGGCAGCCAGTGCCCCGGAGCACGAGGGCTGCTGGTGGAATCGCTGCCGTGAACAGACCTGCTCCCATTTTCACTGAAGCTCAGAAAGAGAAAGTTTGGGGTTTTCCTTCCTCTGGAGTAGCAAAGTCAGGAAGCCGGAGCCTGACTCGGCGCCTGCGAGCCGACCGCCCTGCCGACCTGGTGGGGACGGAGCCCCGCGGGCCGGGGCCGCGCCCTGAGTGTGCTTGTCCTCCCCGGCCAGTGTCCCGAGCGGCCTGCGACCTGTGGAAGGAGAGCGGTGACGTGTCGGACAGCGGCAGCAGCACCACCAGCGGGCACTGGAGCGGGAGCAGCGGGGTCTCCACCCCCTCGCCCCCCCATCCCCAGGCGAGCCCCAAGTATTTGGGGGACGCCTTTGGTTCTCCCCAAACTGATCATGGATTTGAGACCGATCCAGATGCTTTCCTGTTGGATGAACCAGCTCCACGGAAAAGAAAGGTGGGGGGACGGGGGGCCCATGTGCGGGGCAGAGAGAGGAGCTGGGCCTGGAGGGGAGGGGCCCCACAATCTCAGCATCCTTTGCTGCTTCTGGTCCCTCCTGGCCCAGGAGCCGCCTCTCCTTTCAATGCTGCCTCCTTTCCCTTCAGCCTCTGCCCCCAGCCCTGCCCTCGCTGCTGTGCCCCTGCAGAGCCCGAGCTGGGGTGGGGGGTCTTTCCCGCCCTCTGTCCTGCTGGTCGCCACCTCTGGCCCCTTCCCTGAACCTTCTCTTGGGTTCTGTTCGAAGGCAGAGAATGCAGAGGGTGAAGTCCCCGAGGGGTGGGGGAGGAACCTCCCAGTCACCCTGCTCCTTTCCCCTAGAACTCGGTCAAGGTGATGTACAAGTGCCTGTGGCCCAACTGTGGCAAAGTCCTGCGCTCCATCGTGGGCATCAAAAGACACGTGAAGACCCTCCACCTGGGGTAGGTATGCCGGGTGCCCGCCAGGGTCCCCGCCTGAGACTCCCAGGACCACACGCCAGGACGCTTCCAGCAGAGCGAGGTGCTGGGGGCCGGGCTCCCTGGGCCCCGTGGGGAAGAGGTCTCTGAAGCTGGGGTCACCCCACCCCCAAATGTGGCACTGAGGCTGTGGATGGGCAGGTTCCGTCCATCTTGTGGTCCTGTCTTGCCTCACTCTCTGCAGGAAGCAAGATATTTTGGTTCTCAGTAGATAAAGGGTGGTGGGGCGTGCACCTGCCTCCCCGCTCTGGGGAGCCAGGGCTGCCTGAGCCTGGGGCGTTGCTCCCAGCCCTGGGCCTTGAGGGGGCCTGAGGGTGAGGAGGCCAGCCAGGACTCAGGGCAGGAGAGGAGTAGGGGGCAGGGCCGCCTTAGATGCCAGGAAAACAGCAGACCAGACGCTCCCTGTGGCTCCTGGGCCCCCTCCCCGACCAGCTGGGTGGCCCGAGCAGACCTCCTCTTGTGCCTCAGTTTCCTCTGACCGTCCTGGCCTCCCTTCCACACAGGGACACCGTGGACTCCGACCAGTTCAAGCGGGAAGAGGATTTCTACTACACGGAGGTGCAGGTGAAGGAGGAAGCCGCGGCTGCTGCTGTGGCCCCCATGGCTGACTCAGCGCCTGCCCCCAGCATGACCAGCCCGCCCCTGGCCATCCTCCCGCCGCCGCCCAAGGCGCAGGGTTCGGGAGCCGAACACCCAGGCCTGGAGTCCTACCTGTCCCCGGGCGCTCTCAGCAAGTCCGCGCCTGGCTCCTTCTGGCACATTCAGGCCGACCACGCCTACCAGGTATGTGGACGCGGGGAGCTTGGTCTGCGGCTGTGGGGTCCCTCGGTGCCTGCCCAGGCCCTGGCCCTGGCCAGCCCACCCCAGGCCGCCCCCTGCGCTGCTGGAAGGCCTGACCTGTTGGCTAAATCGCACACCTGTGACTTTGAGCGGGGAGATGACATCACACTCCGTGAACGTGGGGGTTCGGGTGCTCGTCGGTGGCTGTCCTGGGCGGCCGCTGGAAGTCTGGCTCACCCGAGCACGCGGGTGGCCGTGGGTGTGGGCTGGGGAGCGAGTCCCGCTTCTGTCAGCGGGTGGAAGAGCGTTGTTGGGCCTCCCAGAGCAAAGCCAGGTGCCGGACGCTCCGGCGGGGTCTTCTGTACCGGCTGCTGTCCCGTGGGGGAGCTCTCCGGGCAGAATCAGACCCTGACCCGGTTCACCGGCTGCTTCTAACAAGGAGTCAGGCTTCGCGGAGGTGCAGGGCGCTGTGTGGGCGCAGCAGGGCCAACGGCTCGTGCCCGTCTGGTCTGACCCCACTCGCGGCAGTGCTGGTGCTTCTCACGGCCCTCCCACGCCTGCAGCGGGGTTTGGTCAGAGTGGGGGCCGGTGCCGAGCAGGGATGAAAACAGGGCTGTCGGCCAGCAAGCCGCTCAGCACCAGCCCCTCCTCGGAGTGTGCGGCCGCTGGGCTGCTCGCTCTTGGCCGACTTCAGGTGGCTCCGGGCAGCGGTGAGCCGGGCTGGTGATTTCACAGACAGACCCAGCCGCAGGCACGTCAGGGGAGAGCTGCTCCTCGCAGGGGGCCGCCTGGGACGCCCAGGCCTTCGGGCCGGTCCCACGGTGCTCTCGGGGCTGTGGACTTCGCTGGGCCCTGCCCGAGGTGCAGCCTTAAGAGACCCGCACTCGAGAGGTGCTGTGCGGGTGGAGGTGGGGGCTGGCACAGTCCAGAGCAGACTGGCTCCCGGGGCCCATCTTACTCAGAGTCGGGGACTCTGATCTTGCTCTTGGGCATACCCCAGGGTTTTCTGGTTGCCACCTTACCTCAAGGTTCCAGGAAGACTGGGTAGCTTCTAGAAGCTTCCTGAGCTGGGACCCAGGCTGACGTGCTCTTGTCTCTGGCAGGCTCTGCCATCCTTTCAGATCCCTGTCTCGCCCCACATCTACACCAGTATTAGCTGGGCGGCCGCACCCTCCACAGCCTCCTCCCTCTCTCCGGTGAGTGCCCTGCCCCTGAGCCCACGAGGTCTTGGGGGGCCCTAGCACCAGCCGGGGGCTCTCCCACCATGCCGAGCGTCAGGCCTGGCTCCCCACAGTCGCCCAGCCCCCAGACTCCCGAGTTCCAAGCACTCCCCATCACTGGTCTGCCCCCCCCTCCGGTTGCAGCCCCCAGGGAAGGTGGGAGGTGGGTACCCAGAACCGCAAGTTGAGGTCAGGAAAGTCACCACCTCTGTACCCCTGAGTGTCTGGGGGCTTTCAGTTTTAATGCTGAGAAGATAAGGGAGTAAATGGGGACAGCCAGAGAGGAAGAGGTTGGGACATGGGGCACATGGAGGACAGGGTGGGGATCCTGGGTCACCACGGACGAGGGCTCGGGCTGCTGGCTGCGCAACGAAAATATGTTGGAAGTTGTTGTGAAGCAAGCACAGCGGGTTTCATTTGCAGTAGCCCCTGTGGGAAAGGGGTCTCGCACCTTGGAGGGCCTGTGCACCCCCGGTGCCACCATCTGTCCTGCGGATGGTGACTCCATCTCCGTCTCTGGCAGGAGTCGCCATAGCAGGCCAGGGGCTCCCCGCACCGCCAGTGTGCCCCACCTCCACCCCAAGTGCAGCTGAAGGGCAGCTCACCTGTCCCTGCGGCATCCTCCTGGCCGGGGTGCTTGCTTCTCTGCCCCCAGGATGGTCCTGCCCCCTCCACTCTGGCCCTCGGCTCATGGCCCTCTCCCGTGTCCAGGTCCGGAGCCGGTCGCTCAGCTTCAGCGAGCCCCAGCCGCCGCCGCCTGCCATGAAGTCTCACCTGATTGTCACGTCTCCTCCCCGGGCCCAGAGCAGCGCCAGGTGAGACCGTCCGCCCTCCCCTGCGGCCTCCGTTTCTGGCCTCTGTTGGGTCACCCCCGTGGCCGGCGTGGACTCCGGCTGGGTCCACCCGGCAGGTCTCCAGGGCGGGGCCTGCCGTGGGACTGACCCGTGCGCCTCTCTCGCAGGAAGGCCCGCGGGGAGGCCAAGAAGTGCCGCAAGGTGTACGGCATCGAGCACCGGGACCAGTGGTGCACGGCCTGCCGCTGGAAGAAGGCGTGCCAGCGCTTCCTGGACTGAGCCGCGCCCGGGCGCCCGGCCCGCGGCCTCCGCCTCCAGGCCGCCGCAGAGCCTGAGCAGAGAGGGTGGACCTCGGGTGTTCGGGATCTGTTAGCTGAGGCCTAACCGATCAAACACGGTCCCTCCTGGTGGGAACATTTTTTTTTTTAACGAAAAGAAACGTGATTATTTTTTCCCCTAAAATAGGAGAGCGAACCGAAACTGACCCAGGGTATTCTACAGCGCACCAGAGACCAAAGAATCGGTGACACCCCGCCACCTCCCGCCTCTCTAGGGGATTCCTTTGTAAGCTCCAAAGAGGGACCAGCTCGCCCTCTTTCCTACAGAGTTGGGGGATTCTTTGCCTTCTCCGCTCTTCCAGAAGGGACTGTGAGCAAGATGAATTGACTTTTCTTTAAAAAAACAAAACAAAATACAAATCGCAGGTTTCCGGCTGACTTGGAGCAGGACTGGCGGGACTGGGGTGGGCGGAGCGGGGTACCTGCTTGCCTTGTGAGGTGCAGTGGCCCCTCCTCTGCCCGCTTGCATCGGAGGAGAGCCCGGCCCTCACCAAAGCAGCTTCCGCGGAAGCAGACGGAAGGCCCCTTCTTGGTGACAACGGCTTGAACCCGGTTCTCTGAGACATCGGGTGCACCCCAAAAACATTACAAGGCTCTTTGCAAAGCCCAGATGAAGAGGCTGGTAAGTCCAGCCAGTGGGCAGTAGGAATTCATTGGTTAAAACACTACGTGAGCCTTCTCGCCTCTTCCCCAGGAGATGAGCCCGGAGGGCCTCCAGCACCTGTGAGCTTGGCCCGGCCCCAGTAACGCCCCTCGCCACGTGTCCTCCCCCGGCACTTGGTTCTCAGAGTATTCAGAAGCTTCTCTCTGATTAAAACCCCCTTTTATTTGGGTGCCCTGGTGACCCTGGGTGGTCCTTTTGGATTTTACCAGGAACTCCCCCATTTCCCTCCCAAGGCTGCTGCGGGGCTGGTGTGGAGAGGGAGAAGCAAACCCATGGAAAGGTCAGCGGCAGCTGCCCCCTCAATGGTGAGGGAGCTGGTGGGTCACCTTCCCCTTTGGGGACTGCCCAGTCTTCCTCCCAGCCGGACTGGACTCTGCAGCTCGTGCAGAGGGGCGTGGATTCCTGCTTTGTCGGTCAAGTGTCGGTGTTGAGGAGGGTCCGCTTGAGGTGGTGACCCAGTCTCTTGCCTGAAGGCTGGACAGATGCGGCAGAGCGCCGCCTGGGGGCAGTGGGATCCCGGGAGGCGGTGGGGGAGGGCTTGCATCCTGGCGCTGCAGACCTGTGCATTTCTGAGCCCTCAAGAGTGGGGGGCGCTGGGTCGATGGCTGGGGAGGCAGAGGGCCACGCTGTTCTTGAGAGGGTGGGAGACGTGGGTGGGGACTTTCATGCCTGCCAGCAGCGACCAGCTGGGCCCTGCAGGGAATCTCCTCTTTCTCCCGAGGGTGACTGGTCTGGGGATTCCTCGGTACCTGTTTGAACACTTCCTGGAGCCACGTCTGAATCCCACCGAGCCCCCCCTCCTACGGTGGGGCAGCAGCACCCCCCGCACCCCTGGTTCTGATGGAGGCCAGCCTCTGGGCCCCAGGTGGAAATCCTTGGCTGCTGACTTGCTTCCCGTGGGAAACGAGCAGATGCTTTTCATGCTAAGACTTGTTGGACGCCACCTGGAGGTAGAGGCGTGACGTGGGACGGTGACGGGGCAGGCGCAGGGTCTTCGGTGGCGACGGGGCGTGTTTTAGTGACTTAGTTAAACAAGCACATATGGATTCTGTCCCGGGGCCGTCTCAACACTGGGCCAGCTGGGGGTGGCCCGGTTCCTCTGTCCCTCCCGCCTCCTGAGAAAGACGAGTCTGAGCGGTGGGAGGTGTGGGCAGCCTCCAGACCCGGGACCCGCCCGGGAGCCTCTTCCCTGCTTCAGCCAGCGCCTGCCGTTCGCGTTCCCCCTCAGCCGGGAGGCCGGCATGTAAAGTACTGACTCCGAAGATTTCTCTCCCAGTGGGGTGGGTGTCTCCGTCACCGGTGCCCGGGGCAGAAAAGGAGCCAGGAGGAAGGATTGACGAGGCAGCTTAACCACAGAGGGGGCTGGATGATTTTTTTTAAGCTTTTGTTTTGGGGCTGCCTCCCCTGCCTGCCTCCGCCCCTGACCCCTTGGGGGTGGCCGCCCCTCTGGCCCTTGACCCTCCCCCCGGCGCCCTCAGTGGCCCGTGTTGGTCCTTGACAAGCCTCGGGGCTGCCCCCTTTGTTGCCGCTCGGGGACTGACCAGGCCATCCCACCCGGTCTCTCCTGTCTTTCCCGGCTCCCCAACCCCCCAGGGAGGAGACCCTGATGGCTGAGGCCACGGTGTGCTCTGGACGGCTAACAGGTCCGGCTTTCAAAGCAGTTACCTGGGGCAGCCGTTTACTCCAGAAGTCCCCCTTCCTCTGAAATCTCTTGGAATCACCCTTTGGCGTCTGTGGCGGCCACATTGAAGGCCCTTAATGACATGGACGCTGCCCCCACGTCGCGAGTGCGCTGGTCAGGCCCGTCCCGGGTGCCGGCACACGGACCGACTAGGGAAGAAAACAGCCTGGGCTTCACTCTGACTTTCGAGCCGGCTGTGAAAGCGATTTGGTAATTTTAGAGAGTGTTCTGGACAAGGTGAGCCTCTGGCTTGACTCCTTGGAGGACGTGATGCTTTGGAGTGGGGAAGCCTGATTGGTTTGACATCTGACGTGTTAGTTTCTGGCCTGCCCAGGTTCTGACTTGATCAGGGGCCAACAACAACAACAACAACAACAACAAAGAGGGAGCGAGATCCCATCTGTGAATTTGTCTTCTTGGCGCCTTCTCCCCAGCTGTCTTCCAAGTATTATTTTTACTGTTAAAAATTTTTTTAAAAAATGTGAAATGTAATGTTTTTACAGCAACAATATGAAATATATTTTATAAGGAATAAAACGGGGTGCGTTGTCTGATTAATGCGTGCCCGTCCCTCCGCCCCTCCCCCCAAAGGACAGCCGTGTCCTTGTCTGTGGTGTCCCCGGGGCACATCATTCCGAGGCCAAGCCCCAGCTCACTTGTAACAGTCGGTGCTGGGACCTGGGGCTCAGCGATGGCCTCAGTGACCCCTGAGGGAGTTACTGCTGCCCCCATTTTGCAGCCAAGAAGAGTGAGGCACAGGGGTTAGGTAACTCGCCCAAGGTCATCCCTCAACTGGGAAGTGACAGTAGGACTGTCATCCAGGCAGTGACCATGATGTGCGTTCTGGGCCTTGTTGCTGAGCGGCTTGAGAAGTGAGCAAGCGACTTGGGAGAAATCAGTCACGCTTGTGCCAGAAGGTAAGGGGTGGCGGGGTGTCACTCTCGTTTGGGGCAGATGAATAAAGGAGAGCCCCGAGCGCTCAGTGGACTCAGGGTGTAGAGCTCTCCCAGGGAGCCAGGCAGGGGGTCTGGCGGCAAAGGGGGAGGGGGTGCTGAAAGGCGGTCAGGCAGTCGAGCCTCCCAGCTCCCCACGAATCTCCATGCTCTTGCTCTGGGCGCTCTCTGGCCTCTCCCACGTCCTCTGGTGGTCTGGCCCCTTCTGTAGTCACACTGGTCCCCTCACAGCCGTGCTCTGAATGACACCACCCTTGTATCCCTGCCTCTAGGCTCAGGGGCTCATACTTGCACATGCACACACACCCATGCTCCAGGTGTCCACAATGCACGCGTGCCCCGTGCCCACACTCCCAAGCGCCTCCTGCATTAGCATAACCAAGGCCGCAGGTGATGGCCACGGAGGCTCGTGGCGTAAAAAGCCCGATTAACTCACCCAACAGTCATACACCGTGACGACCTCGCTGGGTCGGTCTCTTCCAAGAGGCCCGTTCAAAGTAGGCCTGGGTGGTAGGGTGGTGGGGGCGGGGCCATGTCCCGGGCCCTCTGGCAGCCCCTGGGCTGAGTGTGTTGGTGCTGAACCAGAGGAAGCTGAGCGCAGCGGCTGTGGATTCCAGGTCAGGTTTGGGAAGTCATGGCACGTGGACTTAAAACAAGGGGGTGTGTCTGGGGGTGGGGGAGGGTGAGAGAGGGCATTGAATCGGCGCCGCCTGAGCTGGAGAGGTGGCCAGCGCCAGGTGCAGGGGCGCCAGCCCAAGAGGGTGGGAAGCAGAAGCAGTGAGGAGCTTCTGGATCGTGGGAGTGGCCCCGAGACCCCCAACGGTGCTGGACATGGATCGTGTCCGCTGAGGCGACCCTGGACATGACCAGGTACAAAGCCGTCAGCCCCATGAAGCTGGTGGTGGAGCGGGGAGGTCGCCCTTGGGCCTTTTCCTCCAGCAGAGAAGCCTTTTCCCCTTTCCTTGTCCAGCCCCGCCCCCACCCCCTAAGATGCCTCTGATAGAATCCAGGGAGGCCCCAGCCCCGTGCCCAGCCCCCCATCAGGTCGCGCCCAGGCCCTCCCGGGCTCATCTGTCCCTGACTCTGCAGCTTCTGGTTGGGTGTAACGGCAGGATGGCCCCGGACAGGTTGCCTAGGATCTCAGCAGACCGAGCCGGGTAAAGGAGGCGTCCTGGAGCCCTCAGTGGCTTTGGCAGGCTTTTATTGAGATTTACCAGGCACACAGCAGGCAGGGGTGCTGGGGGGCTGGGAGCTGGCAGGCCTCCTAGCACCCAGCAAGCCTTCACTCTCTCCGGGTTCTCCGGCCTTCTCTCGCGTTCTCTCTGCTTCTCTCGTGGTTTGGCTTCTGCTGGCATCCCCGTGACGCCGCCCTTATAAGCCCCATCTCAGCCCAGGTGAATCCCATCTACAGATGCGCGCACCCTACTCCAGGTGCCGCCATCAGGCATGCATTCATGACCGCAGGGATCCGTCATCTATCCTGATGGCGGGAGGGCAGAAAAGCCTGATATCATTTACTGACCCTACATTGGGTTTGACCAACAGGAAACCAGGCTGGAATTTGAGGGGCTGGAGGACAGAGAATTTGGGGTGTTGCACTTCTGGGGCCTTTCTGCCCTGCAGGGTGGGCGCAGGGTTCCTTACGGAGAGCTGACTATAGGGGAGCCCAGCCTAGCGCCTCACCCTCCCTCGCCCATCCCTGGAGCCCATGCCTCTGGCTTGGCCACAGGGACGCCCCCACGTTCCCTGGCCAGGCCTACAGCTGACGCTCTGGAACCTGGTTCCTGTTAGAGATCAAAGCGCTAGCAGATTCGCCCCGGCTCCACCCCGGCCTTCTGTGCAGGCCCCAAAAGAGCAGGTCTGGAGCACCTGGAATCTGTAAAAAGTGCACATTTCTGCTGAATCAGAAATGGGGGTCCGGTGTCCTGCCCTTGGGGAGGTTGTGCATGGAGTTTCAGGGAACCCTGCCCCCTCGCCTGCTTCCACTCATGCAGTGTAGGCGTCAGCCCCCCACTGGATCTGGGGACACAGCACGGTCGGGGGTTTATGCTCACGTGGCTTCCCCATCATGCTTTATATAAAGCAGAACTGTGTGCTTCGCAGCCCTGCTGAGAGAAGACGCATGCGAGCACACATGCACACATGCCCGCATGCACATATATACACACGCGCACGCATATACACGCACACACACATGCACACACTCCGATGCTGTGTTTGGAGTCTGCTGCTCTGTCACTTAAAAACAGTCAACCCCTTATTAACCTCTTGCTCAGTAGAAGTTTAATGGAGAAATATCTTTAAAACAATCCGTCAAAAAGAACAGCTCTTTACAAACGAGTAATGGCAGTGAGACGAGCCCAGCCCCCGCAAGTCTTGTCGCTCCACCGCCCTCCGAGAGGGCAGAGGTGGGCGAGAGAGCCGGCGGTGCGTGTTAGCGGGAGGAATTACAAAAATACACTCTGATGTAGCAACAGGGGTGTCGTGAAACATGCCGGGGGCACGGGGGTCACAACCAGAAGGGCAGGGGCTGCGCCCCGGGGGTGGAGACCTGGAGACCGATTCCACCTCCCGTCTCGGGGAAGAAGGCCGGGCTCCTGGCCGGCAGGTCTGGGACTGGAGACATGCTGTTTTGGGGATCACCTGGACACCTGGGGAGACAGAAATGATTAAAAGGCAACCCCGATAGTTCTGACCCTCCTGTCCAGGTCGCACTAGTGTCTCAGCGGTGGGAAGGAGGCAGCGAGAAGCTGCCCCCCGGGTAAATGGCCCCCAATGCAGCGAGAAGGCCTCCCTCCCTGCCCTGGCATCCTTGCCCCCAATCCCAAGTCTGTTGGCAGACTGTGGGGTCGAGGGCAGGTTGAGGGCAGGTCTGCCGGTGCAGGGGAGGGCCCGCCCAGAAGCAGGTGCTGGGAATCTCTGTGTTGTCGCTCACGTCTGCAGGCTAAGTGTGTCCTAGTTCTAGTTCTCTCGCAGAGCAAGTGTCTGGCTTCAGTACACCCCCTACCCCTGCCCCCTGCCATGAGCGAGTGGCCCCTCTCGCTTTGCATTGTCTAGAGGGTCGAGGCCTGGAGCAGCAAAAACAGCACAACATGGTCAAGAGTTGCTTCATGACATTTCAGTCAAAGACAGACCACACCTGGGATGCGGCCCCCACAGGCTGGACCTGACGGTTCAGGAGCCTGGGGCGGCGCTGTCTAGTGTGGCGCGATTTCACTTGATGACCTTTGGACAAGAACGGCTTCTAATGAATGTCACGTGTCTCCAAGTTTCCCTGCCATTAAGTGAGGCATGACCGTATGGGGTCAGGGAAGGGGAAGTAGCTACAGAGATCGGAGGTCCCCTTTCCACTGTTCTGCACCCCAAGTGCCCTCCTCATCCTAGGATGTCATTATACTTCCCGAATAGGGTTCTTCACCTCATTTTGGCATTGGGTGGCCCATGACCTCCAGCCTCCTAGAGTGGGAGCAGCTCATAAGTCCAGAGCAGCTCTGGCTACAGGAGCTCCCCCAAAGGGAGGACTCTCCAGCGAGAGCAGGGCTGGTTGGGGTGTGTATAGATGAACAGAGGTGAGATGCAAGCCTCCTGCTGCAGACCCGTGAAGATGTTTCCATATCGAAGTCAGTCACATTGAAAGTGTGGAAACACAGAAACAAGATGGCGGCCGAAGGAGACCGGGGTGAATGTAACCCCCAAGAGAGCTGGCTTCTGTTTCCAGAGCGTCCCTGGAGAATGCTGCATCTCAAACAGAAGCTACTTACCAGCTTTGTTGTGGTGCCTCCCAGTGGGAAGCTGGGGAGAAAATTAGAAAAACCAATTGCCTGAATAGGGGCTCAAATAAGCTTTTTGTTTTAATAAATTGCTGCAAATGTGACTGATTTGAGGCTGTCCTTCGGTAAAGAAAACAGTGGCAGTTCGGAATGGCACCTGAGCTTCATGCCCCGTAGAGCCACTTTAGAGACTGTCTTTAAAATTGGAAAGAATTTGATCCATGCTCCTGAAAGGGTTATCCGCAGTGCTGGGCTGCTCGGGCTGAGGGAGAAACAGACCGCTGGCTAAGGGTCCCAGCGGATGGCTTCAAAGCCATGCAGGTGACCTCAGGGTCTTTGGAGATGAGTCATTCTGCTAAAATAGTCATGCAGGCATCTCACAACTTAACACATGTCCTGTACGGTGACAGGCCTGTTGCAGAGAAGCCAGCCTTCCTGCAAAGAGCCACGTGGCTCCCGGCAAGCTGCAGCGTGGCTGCTGCCGGTGAACACGTGTCTCCATAGACTCAGAAGGAAAATCATGAATGATCTGGTTACTGTTCACGTACAGCAAGCCACACAGCACATACTGCTTTCTGTCTCAGTCAGGGAAAGTTGGGTGAGGCTGTGAGATGATGGTGCCAGCTGATTAGATCGGCTGGTGCAAGTTTCTCCACTTATTTCAGGAGAGGTTCCACACGCCACAGACAGCCATGTTCTATAATGAATCGAGGCATGGATGCTTGGTGGTTGGGATTTCCTTAGATGTGCTTGTTCCTAATGTCGGGTATTGTGAGATGTGAGTGTAGGCAGATGGGCTGGGGAAGCTGAGTTTGACTCAGCAATGATGGACGATAAAAGAGGGTCCTCGATGTTAATTGTCTGGGGTGAATTATGGGCCCATGGGCAAGTGGGCAGGTGGGGAAGAAAAGACCAGAAGAAGGCAGAGAGGGGTAAGGTGCAGGCAAAACTAAATGCAAAAAGAAAGAGGGCACAGATGCCACTGGGAAGAAGACGCAGTGAGGGGAGCCACTGTCCTAAAAGCTGCTGGTCTGTGGGGTCCACTTCTCCAGGCCTCGCTGGGTCGCAGTGCCATGGACCCCAAGGCATCAGCCCGTCTCTGCCCAGGTGGTGGGAAGGACACATGAGGAGAGGAGGCAAGAGAAGCAGAAATGAAGACTCCTGGTCCTAACACGAGGGGCGCGTGTGCAAGCTGAGTGGCTTCCATGAAGTCCGGTCCCCTGGTGTAGGGCCCGGGGAGGGGCTGAGCACACTCTGGAGGTGGCACAGCACAGCCGTGGCCGTGGCCACCGTCTGAGTCACAGCGAAGGGCTCAGGGGAGGCTCAGCTATCACTTCCTGCAGATTAAGACTCAGGAAAGGTGAACTGAGCGGTTGCTATGGCAACCGAGTAGTGACTTGGTCCACTTAACTGTCCCCATAGTAACTAAGCTCCCCGAGAGCCAACGAGGAATTAGTTATCTTAACATACTACTATTATCCCCATGGTAACCAAACTCTAAAAGGCAGCCATCAGCCCCCTACCCCCAGCAATCCTGGGCAAATCTTTGTTCCCTGGAGAAGGGGCGGCAGGAGGCAGGGAGGTGACTTTACCTCCCAGGCTCCCCAGGAGCCGAACACCTTGAGTGGGGGGGGTGTGTATTGGGGGCTAAGGTGCTCTGACAGCTGGGGGTCGGGTTTCTTCTGGGCCCGCGCCTCCATGCCCACCTCACTCGTGAGTTGCGCGGCCGGTGCCGCGGGCAGGGCACCCTCACTGGGCCCTGCGGTTCTGCTGCAGGGTGCGCCGGCGCTGGCTGGACTGCAGGCTCAGGACCAGGTACTGCCGCATAAACTCGCTGAACCGCTTCTGGTTGGCCAGCTTCCGGGCCGACTTCCGAGCCCCCGTGAAGCCCCCGAACCGCTTCTGCAGCTGCTTCTGCTCCGCCTCGGCGGCCTCCTCCCCTCCGGGCTGGGCTGTGTCCGGGGCTGGCACGAGGCTCCGGACGCGGGGCAGGCGCTTCAGGTGCTGCGTCTCAGTCGCCGAGGCCCTGGGCGGGTCCGGGACAGCGGCCGCCTGCTTTGGGTCAACAGGGCCGAGCTGCCAGGTGCCCCTGGCCATGGCCTTGACACATGGAGTCCAGAGGGGGCTGGCGAAGAGCTTCCCTTCACACCCGAGGACGCACACCTGCAGAGAAAGGTGGGGGGGGGGACAAGGGTGGGGCGGGGGCGAGACAAGCCTCTGTCGACCGGTCCTGTGGCTCCAGCGCAGGTGCTGGCACAGTGTCTCGGGTGCTGCGCTGCAGCGGGGCCTGTAGCTTCACAGAATTTCCAAAACGGAAAGAAACACACTCTGGCCCAGCTCTGGCATTTCACAAATGAGCACAGGCTCAGGGCGGTGGTTAACAGCCCCCCAGAGGGGACATGCTAGTTAACACCCCAGGGGCACCCTGCCTGAGCCTGCCTGGGGGTTGGAGGCAAACATAGCTTGTGAGGGCCGCCCCTCAGGAGAACTTTGTTTTGATCTTTTCTGGCTTTAAGCAATCGGGCATGTCAAAGGATACAAATCCTCATGGTTACTTTAAGGTCTCTGGTGTTAATTTTTCACTCCTCATACACTAACTGTGCCTCAATTATAGAAAATGGGGGTCAAGGTAGGCGGGCTGGACAATCCCTTCCCAGTGGGGCAGGGCGGCAGTCAAAGGAAGCAGAGCTCTCCGGCCAGCAGCGTCTGCTCTGCCCCGCCAGGCGCCGGGGGAGGGGGGGCGGCGCGCCCACCTGCCTGAGTTCCTGCCTCTGGTTGGGTCTCCTGGAAGCCTCTGCCTCTGCCTCTTCTTCCTCTTTGCTGTTTTGGCTTCACCTGAACGCCCCTCTGGGTGCCTCTGGCTTAGCCAAGTGAACATCCCAGTCGAGCCTGATCTTGTCGTCATGGTCCGCAGAAAACCACGGAGCCCTCGGTCAGACCGGGGAGCGGGCGCCCGGCCTGCAGAGTGCCAGCTCAAAGCCGGGCCCCGGCACGTGCGATGTCAGAAGACTGGGGTGTGCCTCCTAGCCCCCGGCTGGGGAGCCAGCCCTTGGCCCCAGGTGTGCAGAGGGGCACGGGTGCCGTGGAAGTTCCCCAGCAGACCCCTAACCAGGGAGCGAGAGGTGCAGGTAGCTTAGACCACACGCCTCTCGGGCTGTCCGCCCAGCCCTGAGCCCCGACAGCTCAGCTGCTGCGGTCCCACCGCTCCGGCTGGGCTGGCTGGGAGGAGCAGCCTCCCCCTCTTCCTCCAGCTTCCTTCTCGGGATGTGGACATGTTGGCTGCCGGCCGGCGGGCCCCCGTGGCAGCGCGAGGGGGCGTGGAGGACGGGCACCCGCGGGCACCTGAGCTGGAAGCTGCGCGCAGGCCGAGCAGGCAGGGGAGGGGCGGCGGGGGCATGGTAGAGCCGCCAGACCAGCCTGGCGTCCCCCTCCTGGCTGCGGCACGGGGAACCCAGGGCCCCGCTGCCCTTAGCGGACGTTAGATTAGGTCTCGGGTGCCAGGAGGTGAACTCAAGTCCCAGCTAACAGGCTTTCCTCACTCACACCCGCCCTTCCCTCAGCTCTCTCTGGCGCCTCGTCCCCCGCTTAGAACCCCAGGTCTGCCCGTCCCCCTGCTCACGGCCCCGGCCCCTGCAGTGCACACGCCTGCTCCCTTCTTGCCACCCCTCTGCCAAGCATGGCCTCGGGTCCAGGGCCTCCAGCTGATGGCGCCGTCTCTGATCTTTGCTGCCGTGGTCCACCGGACAGGCCTCTCGGAGCAGTTTTCCTGGAGAGACTCTGATCACGCTGTCGCCTGCCCCAACTGCCAGGTCTTCTCTGTCCATAAAATACTCCAGACTGGGCAGGATGTTGGGGTCTCTGCTCCATCCACAGCCCTGCCCGTCCTCCAGTCTTCTGTCTGATTCTCCCCACGCCCACCTCCGTGGGGCAGGCAGGGTGCGCCCCGGGCCTCAGGCTCACCCGAGCTCCCGCACCCCGCGTCCTGCCTCTTCCTGCATGGCCGTGCCCCCAGCTCATCTGCCTCCTGCAAGGGGGGCGTTTCAGAGGAGGCGCATTGCCTTGAGCGGGGTTAGTCGAGGAGCCACTCTGTGCTCAGCTGAGACGGGGAGGGAGGAGGAAACCCGACCAGAGCGCGAGGCCCCGGGAGGAGCGTTGCAGCTGGTGGAACCAGAGCTGCCGTCCTCATACCCCGGGCATGTGGCGGCGCCTTGCTCGCTGGGGTTGTCTGTCCCTCTAGACCCAGCCTCTTGGGTCACGGGCTCGTGGGACTCTCATGAAAGCAAAGGAGCCCCTTCCGGGGTGGAAATGCCCGCGCGCCAACCTCGCGCGTCCTGCGGGCGGCCCACGGCTCTCTGGAAGCCCGGCCCTGGGGACACGGCGGGTCCTCTGCTTGCCGCGGGCCGTCCCGCAGGGAGTCTGCCTGCCTCCCGGGCCTCTACCAGCCGGCTCGCCAGGCGGAGCTGCCAGTGCGGACAGAGACCGAGCACCCCAGGGAGTGGGGGGGCCCTGCATCGCGTCACCCAGGCCCAGTGCTTCCTGCGCATTGGCCACACGTGCGCCTCGTGCCAGCTCTGGGGGGACCTTCCGCAAGCAACACCTGGCCCTGGGACCCCACACCCGGGGGAGCCCACATAGTCTGTAGACTGAAAAAGCAGGATTTCAAGACCCACTTCAGTCCCTGAGGAACAGAGCCAGAGATTAAAACCTGTTTTTCAAAGCTCAGGCCTTTGTGAACGGGCTCAGAGCCCATGGTGGGGTCCGGTCTGTGCTGGTCACGGGGGGCTCAGCAGCTGCCCAAGAGCACAATGTAGGGGAACATAGGACCTTACAGGAACCCACTTTCGGTCTCAGCCAGGACATCTAGCAGCCACCTGGCAAGTTTGCAATGGGAACGCGTGGAAATGAGGGCGAGCAGGACCCCATGAGGCCAAGAGGCAAGGTCCGCAGGGGAGCGGCTCCTTCCTGGGCCAGAGCAGGCTGTCTCCAGGGGTGCCCCCTCCTTCACTGTCAGGGTCCCAGGAGCAGCCTCTGCCAATGTGGGGCTACTGGCACCTACTGAAATGCAAGCTCCAGTCTTTCTAGTGTCTTTTCTGGTTAGATTTTCTCAGAGATGCAGAGACCGATTGTTGGGGCCAAGTCAGGCATGCAGAGCAGCTGCCCCTTCGGGACACTCACGGCGTCGCTAGGCGTGAAGACATGATGGACAACTTGCCTAGATGAGGAGGCAGAATGTGCAGCCGTGGGCTGCACTGGGATGTTCTTTCAGGGTGCTCCTGGACTTGCGTAGAAAGCATATCCTTCACCTGCACCCTGGAGAGCGGGCCTCCGTCTACCGGGATGGAGCCCAGGAACTTGCGCGTTTGGCCAGCGCTCAGGGCCTCTGAGGCTGGACCACACGCTGACAAGCCCACTGTGGAGCTCGCTCTGTGGAGGGAGACGCTGTCACGGAACTCACTGGCCAGGCTCCTCCGGGAGAGCCCCTGGGTCTGTTTGGGCTTGCCCCTTGGAGACAGCCAGGTAGGGCCATTGGCCGTGTGTTCTTTCAGATCGTAACCCTGCTGGGTTATTTCTCTATAGCAGTGGGCCCAACTGGGGGCGTTCTGTCCCTCAGGGGACCTCAGGCCATGTCTGCAGACATTTTTGGTTGTCACCTGTTAGGCTGGGCAGGGTTGCTACAATTATCTAGAGAGTAGAGGCCAAGGGTGCCTACAATGCACAGGGCAAACCCCATACAATGGTCCTTGGTGGGGAGTCTGAGAACTCCTACCCACTGTGTCCGGGGGGGAGCACTGGCAGCTCCAGAAAACCCAGGTTGTCGATTTTGGGAGCTGAAATGGCCTTTGGGGCACATTTGGTCCAGTGCTCACTGAACAGGAGCCCCAAGTGCCTGCTGAGTGGTTTTGAGCCTTCAATTTACAGAAACAGGTGGACACTGTTAGCCTAGAGGCTATCAGATCTTCTGCAAGCCCCTGGGCTTCTAAGCCCAGATGGTGATTGGGTTGTATGTCAATCAGAGAAAATGAAATTCTGTGATCAGACCAGATGCATATTGAGACTCAACATCCTGTTAGATGAATCAGGCACTAAAATAATCATCTCAACTCTCAATTTAGGAGATGTTTTAGGCAAATAGGAGTACTCCAAATTCACAACAGCATTTGTGGCACCAGATGGGCCTATGAGCTAAATACCCAACTCTCGGGTCTGAGGGACCCACCAGCCTCTTTCCAGAGATGGGTTAATGGCCTGTTAAGCAAGCTAGACGCACTTTCACAGCCCACACTGCAGGCCTGGCCGGAATGTGGATGAGCATCTGGGAGGTCTCAGATTGGCACTGCATCCATCTGTAAAGCTGGACTTAAGTGGAACTGAGCAAAGAGCCATTTGGATGTTGGGGATAAACGATTTGGGAAGACATGAGCCCATTGCAAGGAAAAGCAGCAGCTCTTTGATATTGTTGTTTCTGCCATTCAAGTCTCAAACCACCACTAACCAAGAGACAGTTGGGAGATTTACTTTAGGGGGTTTTGCTGGGACATGAGGGCGAACGCTGGTAGCGCAGCCGACGAACAGCACCGCCCAGAGACAAAGGACAGCTGCACTTTGCTACCGAGTGTCCATGTAATAAAGACAGAAGGAACTACCAGAAGGAGGTGATTTTGCTGTTTTAAATAAATTCCCCCAGACCTTCACTGGGTCATCCTCTCTGTCTCTCGAACAACGAATGGAGCTTTTCCTACTTGAGTTGGTGGCCTCCGGGCCACTCACAACCAGCTGGGGGCCAGAACCTTGCTGTGGGCTTGGAGGCGGGGGCTATTTAGCCATCAAAACGATAATCTAAGAGCCAGTCATACTCGGGCCATTGACCTGGAGGGAGAAATTGTAGGACAAGTGAAAAATTATCAGGCTTTCCCACCCTCCCGCCATTAGCATTAATGATGGATCCCTGCGGTCCTACGTGCATGCCTGATGGCAGGCACCTGGAGTAGGGTGTGGGCATGCATAGGTGGGCACGCCTGGGCTGAGACAGGGCTTATAGGGGTGGCGTCCTGGGGACGCCAGCATAACGAGAAGAAGAATGAGAGCAACAGAACGAGAGCAGAGCCAACAGAGAAGCAGAAAGAGTGAAGATTTGCCAGGGGCTGGGAGGCCTGTCAGCCTCCAGGCCCCTTAGCCCCTCTGCCTTGTAAAAAGTGCAATAAAAGTCTGAAAAGCCACTGAGGGCTCCAGGATCCTCCTTAACCATCTGCTTGGATCATAGAGATCCTGCTCTCTGCCTTCCTGCCACTACAAACAGATTCTTGATGAAGCCAAGGTTCTAGAAGGCCCTGGGAATAGCTGAGTTTAGGGTAAATGAATTAACAAGGCTTTTTACATCACGAGCCTCTGTGGCCATCATCCGTGGCCCTGTTGTGCTAATGCAGGAGGTGCTTGGGAGCTTGGGTGTAGACATGAGTGCCTGATTGTGAACACCTGGAGGATGGGTGTGTGCGTGCACATGCATAAGTGTGCACACCTGAGCCTAGAGGCAGGCTAAAAGCTGCAACAGTGCAGCCATGAGAGGACGAGCAGTGTGACTACAGAAGAGGTGAGACCACGAAATGAGAGGACGTGCAAGAGAGAGCCCAGAGAAAGAGCATAGAGATTCGTGGGGGGCTGGGAGACTCCGTTGCCTGCCTGCCCCCCAGCCCTGCCCAGCTGGTGCCTGTCTCCTTGCATGCCAGCCTCCCTGCTGGCCCTACACAGAAAATTGCCTAATCTGATGGAGGGTTTTGGGAGGTGACCTTTGCTGAAATATCAGGACCCCCCCCACCCAGTCATCATTCACAGAGCAGACATACTCAAGGGTGGCAAGGTTCAGAAATGAGACATGGTTGTCTACTTTCTAGCGTTTCATCAAACTTACTTTTAAACCTAAGATAAAGGTAAAAGCAAGATAGACACAAAACATCCAGACAGCCGTGTTCTTGGGGGGCCAGTGGGCACCGTGAGGCTTACCCCTCACCGTGAGCTGTGCCCGGTCACTTTCTGGGGATATTTCACAGAAGTCAAGCCAGCGGTGCTTCTGGCCCCCAGAGACTAAGATGTTAAAGAGAAACGCAAACACATTCCCAATTCTTTACTGGGTTGAAAGACAATGTAAAAACTTGGCAGCCCCGGCAATGGGGGAGCCCACTAGGAGGCCAAAGCTCTCATTCCACCGGGCAATCAAGAGCAGCCGGGCCAGGAAGCGTGCAGGAAGCGTGCAGGAAGCGTGCAGGAAGCGTGCAGGAAGCGTGCAGGAAGACAGCGGAGACCAACCGCTGACCCAGCACAGGGGGTGGAGAGTTGCCCGAGGGTTCCCTTCTCACAGGGTTGAACCTCGTCTGGGTTTTGAAGTGTGAGTAGGTTCACTGCACGAGGGAGGAAGGAGACGTGTGTGCCAGGCGTCGGGGACTTCCTGGAGCAGTGGGAAGTGTCGGAAGGGGAGACGGAACCTCCAGGAACGGCAGCAGGTGACTGGAGCCCAGCAGAGAGGGGTGGGCTGCACCTCTGCGAGTTACCTGCCGCCTGGGCAGAGCGGAAAGCCTGGGCAGCTGGATGGCGTCTCCGTGGGAGACAGTGCGTGCAGGTAGGAAGCAGGAATCTCGGTCATTACTTGGCTGGGCGCGGGGAGAGGAAGGGGGGGCAGAAAAAGAAGGTTCGGAGTGGGGAGAGCCAGGCAGGTTGGGGAGGAGGCAGCCTGCAAATCAGTCGGAGACTCTGGGGTCGGTGTGGCCCGAGAGCGCCGAGGGAGTAGCCCTCTCTTTGACCGGGGTCTGTTGCCAGCACACATTGCTCCATCAAGAAGAGCGACAGCAAAGGGAAGGAAAGATGAAGGGGAAGGCCCAGCGGGGAAATCAATGGCTAAAGGAAGGAGATTGAGGAGCAGGGACACTTCCGGGGCAGGTGGGGCGAGCGCGCAGACGCCGTGTGGTGTCGAGACAGGAGGGACTTGTGCTTGGGGGTCTCTGTCTTCTCGGTACAAGGGGAAGGGCAGGGCATGAGTGCTTCACCGTCAGCTGTGAGGTCTTGCCACAAAAAGATCACCTAAGCCCAAGGATGACTTCATCACAAAGAAACCCATTAGCTCAGGCCCGGGGATGTCCTTACAGTTAAGTTCCTTATGCTCCTTTTGCGTAAAATACACAAAACAGAAGACTTGCCATTTCAATCACTTGTAAAGAGCCAGTGGCGTCCGTGACGGTCACATTGCCAGGCAGCTGTGCCCCTCCTTCACCCTTCATAGCTGACACTGTTCCATAAAACACTGGCTCCCAGCCGCTCCCAGGCCCTCCCAGCCCTGGCCGGCCCCCAGCCCGGTCTGCTGTCCATCGCCATGCTTTTCTCTCTGGCCGAGGGCACTTAGGATGTGGTCCACCATGCATGTTGAAGCAGGTGTCGGAATCGCCTTCCTCTTGGAGGCTGAGTGACAGTCCCCTGCGTGGACACGCCCCATTTTGTTCCTCCATCGTGGATGGGCCCTTGGGTTGTCGCCCCTTCTGGTGACTGCGAGTAGTGCAGCGGGGAGCGAGGGCGCGGGCCTGTCCGCCCCCGCCCCGATGCTCTGTGGAGCGCTTGAAGGCGCTGCCTTTGAAGCTGGAACCTTCAGTGTGGTCTAGGCTGCGACCCGAGAGCTTTAACTGTGCGGTGACTGTGAGGAGCCCTCTCCATCAGCTCCTTCACCTGAAAACTAGTCTGCACCAGACCAAGGTGACCCTTCAACCTCTAGTCAGCCAGGAGGTACGAGAAAATGCTCTGGGGGCTGCTCAGACATGGCACTGGGTCTCCTGGCCAAACCAGCTCCGCAATCACCCCCCTTTCTGCATTTGCGTGCGTGTGCCCCTCCCCAAGCGGGCAGCCCTCCCTCCTCACACCCGCATCGCCTTTGGCCTTAGAGACTTCAGTTCCCTCAAGGCCCCTCTGCTCTAGACTAGGGTGGGGTTCCCTGCACTGTGCTTCTCCAGTGCCTGGTGCCCCGTGGAGGGATTGTGAGGTCTCCTCTCCCTCTAGCTGCAGCTCCCTGCCTGCTCGCCTGGGTGCCCTCACCTGCTCAGCACAGAGCAGCTGCGAGTGCAAGCCACGAGGCTGGGGAGCAGGAGGGCGGGGTGGGCAGGGACACCCCTCATGACGTGCCGGTGAGCACGGTTCAGAAGGCAGACAGCCGGCCGTGCCTGAGCTGGGGCGGAGCGCTTGGGCCTGCCGGGCCATCGGCTCGGGTGTCCGCAGGGTGTCATCCCGCAGGAGTGCTGGGGCCCTCTCGTTGGGCGCTGGCCTCGAGGGACAGGAGTTACTTTGGGTTGCCCTTACAGGCCGAGGAGTTTGAAACGTGGCATCTTTTATACCTGGTCTCAGCCAAAAGGCCAAGTAGCGATAACGTGGCATCTTTGAAAAGATGCAGCTTTGTCCTCTAGGAAAAGGCCCCGGAGGTAGGCTGGGTTAACCGCAGAGGCCTGGCTGTCGGGACTGGAGTGAGAGCTATTTCCTGACAAGAAATTTAACATCAGACTTGACCTCGAGTTCAAGACGTGCCACGTAAAGGCACCAGAGCTCGCCGTGGAATTATCTGTAATGTCAGAAGTGGAGGGAACGCGTCACTCCGAGGCTGGTTGAGCAGAGGATACTGTTTCCAGAGAAAAATAACTTAAAACATTGCTAATGGAATGCTTGGTGACCTGGGGAAACTATCTTGGTATGAAAAAGCCAGGTTCTTTCTCTGATGGGTGGGATTAGAGGTGGTTGTAAGTTTCTTTTTTCATACTGCTCTGAACTTGCCAACTTCCCCGGCACGAGGACACTGTTTTAATAACGGGAACCACACAGTGGCCCCGCAGGCCTTTCCTTGACCGTGGCCCAGTGGGAAGCTGACAGGGCTGGGGTTCAGAAGTTGCTCCAGCTCACGCCTGCTTCCTCGCCGCTGACAGCACACAAGTCACATGACCACTGGGGGAGAAGCGTCCCCCCAGTGGGCTCTGCAGGAGGAGGGGGAGCCAGAGGTGGGCGGGGGTGCTCTGGGCCTACCTCTAGGCTGAAGCTGTCGCGGGCTGTGCGGAGCTTCTCCCGGCAGGTCAGACAGTCCCCCTGGCAGCTGCTGGACACGCTGGAGAAGAGGCTGAGCAGCAGGAGGCCGCAGAGCAGGCCTTTCATGGTGCGGGAGCGGGAGCCAAGTGCTGAAACACAAGTGTGGGCAGGTGGCAGTTAGAACAGCCATCCTGAGGGCTGGCGGGCTGGAGACCCTCCCTCAGGGGACAGCGCCTGCACCTGTGAGTCACCTCCCCGGAGGGAGTGGGTTGTCAAGGGCACGGAGCTAATATTGCCCAGCGGCTGGTGTCGGGGCTCCTGGGGAGAGCACCCCGCGATTCCCGCCACCCAGCCTTGCACGGGCACTTCAGGGAAATAAAAGTTTTGCAGCTAAGTTGTGGGTGACTGAGGAAACTCCCCAAACCCCAGTCCTTCATAGGGAAGGGTGGTGCCCGCCTCCCAGGGTCTTGTGAAGGTGAGACGAGGTCTGTCGGGACATTTGCCAAAAGGCTGGTGAGAGCGGGGTTTTAACAGTGAGTGCCCGTGGGCTCCTCCTCCGCCAGCCTGTCCTCCCGCTGCGGGAATGCCTGCCCCCCCAGGCTCGCTGCTCCTGGAATCTCGTGCCAGGCTCCTCACCTGCCTCCCCTGTTGGCTGGGAGCCGGCTCCCCATGCTCACTGCCAGGATGCTCACCCGGCTGTTCTGTGCAAGGCACAAGACCAAGCGTGCAGGGTTAGTGACTAAAAGATGAACAAGGAAACTAAGATAACAGCTCCGACTGTTGTCACTTAGCTCAGTCCTTGAGGGCATCGTGTTAGTGCCTGTGGAACTTTGACTTGGGGGAGTAAATGGAAAGGGGAATAGGGAACTTTCTGGAATGTTGTGCATCTTCTTGATTGAGGGGTGTATACATTTGCCAAAAACCGATGAATTGTCCTCTTCAATCCTGTGCATTTCATCACAGGTGAGTTTTACCTTGATGGAGAGTTCAGTGTAGAACAACAAACATCTCCTTTATTCCTTTTCCATGAGTTGACTGAGCACACAAGCAGCCTTGCTATTTAAATTCAGTCTGCTGACCAGCATCACCAGGATCTTCTCAGAAGTGCTAGGTCTCACCCCACCCCCACCACTGAGTCTGGATCTGTTTGCAGCAAGGTTCTCAAGTGCAAGTGGGCTAAAGTTTAAAAAGCAATGGTTTCTAAGAAGGCTGTGAAATGCAGCAAGGCAACAGCAGGAGGAAGTGGGTCCTGCACTCGAGGTCACCCAGTAGCCACATTAGATACCCTGCCCCCAGCTCTTCTGGTGCATCCTCCATGCATCTTGCACCAAGAGATTGTCGACTCTAAGATGCTCCATCAGTGCTTGTTAAGTCAAGAGGTGACTTCTGAGATGGATTTTGAAGGATGAATAAGAGTTCGCCAAGAGGACAGAGAAGATGGCTTCTGAGACAGCCTCTGAAGGCGGAGAGGAGTTGGGTCCACTGTCTCTGAGGGCACGGCATGCTGGCCGGTCTCCCTGGGTCTCCAGTCCACTTTCCTGGGGCAGCACTTGACTGAAAAGAGGCTGACCCCATTGAGTTGGCCCGATTTGCCATCCTAAAGGGCCAGGCTTTATAGAAGGTGGAAGTCCCGGGCTAATGAAAGTGAACACAAACATCTCTACAAATGTGTGTACCTCAAATGCGTCCTTCCTTGCACCCCAGCTGAGGGATATGGCCTCAGTTATGGTGAATGCCTCCTAATTAGTCTCATGACCTGGCTCCCTCCGAGTCATTGTCAAATCTGACAACGTCACTTCATGGGTATAATTCTATAATCCCCATCGGGATGAGCCCAGGACTTAGCCCGGCCCTGCTCCGCCCCTTTGCTCACTTCGTCTCCTGCTGCTCACGCTCGCATGCCCTCCACCCTGGAGAGTCAAGTAAAGTTCCCAACTCTGTCAGGTCTTTAGCACCTTCCTGTCCCATCCAGAACCCCCTCAGACTTCAGACGCACCCCAAGAATGATCCCTTTGGGAAGCCACCCCCAGGCCCTGCTGAGCTAGTGACCCTCTGCTTCTGGATATCTCCAGGTGGCCATCACAGCTGGTGGCCAGTGCCAGGGTCTGCCAGCCAGCCGGGCCATGGGACACTCTCCCCTTCTCGCATCCACAGACCCCCGGCTCAGATCCCGGCTCTGTCACTCAGCCTCTCAGTTCCCCATCTATAAAACTGGGGCGATAGTGGCGTCCATCTCACAGGTCAGTTTTGGTCAGTAAGTAGTTAAACCAACCCCAGAGCAAGCACCGCAGCAAAGCACATGAAGGCAAGAGAGCCCCATGGCACCCTGGGGCGGGCAGTCTCCCTGGGCCTGTGGTCCTCCCTGGGACGGTCCTCCTGCAGGGCGGAGGTCATCCCTCTGAGCCTCAGTATTTGCAGAGCCCAATCTGGAGCCTGGCACTGAGCAGGTGCTCAGAGTTTGCCCAAGGTCAGCAGAGCTCAGCACCCACGTGTCCACCTTGTTCACCCTGCAAAGGAACCCCGTGTCTCCAGCAAACTGTGGGAAGGAGCAGCCCTTACCGGGGCCTGGGATCGTCAGGGTGCAGGACCCACTCCAGGACCCAGCCTCTGTGGGAACACATCTGTCCCAGAGAAGGGTCTCCCGAGTGAGCCGGTCGTGGCGCAGGGCCTGGTGGAGAGGCCGGATGTCCCCGCGCCAGGGGTGGTGAGTTTGTAAGGTCCAGGGGTGCCCGTAGAAGAGCCGGTACGCGCGCCCTCTCACTGGCCTTTTTGAAGAGAATCTGTATCTTGAGTTCCGACACCAAATACATCGAGGACTGCCCGAGGAAGTCTCTTGTTGAATTTGAGAACGATCTTTATATTTCTTATTTTATGAAATTTCAATCTATGTAGTTGGGAGACATTTTTATAGTTTTTTTTTTTTCAATTTTCCTGGATTACCAGTGTCTTGTAAAGGGATATAACTCAGAAACAGTCCCGGGGGAAACTGACGTGGCGAGGTGTGGGGCCTCAGCATCCAGGCCCTCTCCAGCGCCCCACTTGCCCCAGTCTCCGTGTGTTCACTGACCCGGAAACCATCGAGTCCTTGTGGGTTTTAATGCAGGTTTCATTACACAAACACGACAGCCTCCATCACTGGCCTTGGGCCTTGATTCAGCCTGACTCTCGTGGGTGGGGCTGGAAGGAGGAAGCGAAGTTCAACCCTCAGCGCACAGCTGGGCAGAGCTGGCTGCAGTGCCCTCCACGGCCACCCGATGGCGGTGCCTGCATGTCACGGAGCGCGAAGGTGAGGTGCCAAGAGCTGAGCCTCTTCCTTCCCGGCTTCACATGGCTACGTGGAATGTTTGCACCAGCTGAGCTGATAAGTTGTGACAGATGTTAATGAGATGCTTTCTGGCTGAGGTTTGTCGTGAACTTCATGACCCTCGACAACTTCAGGAAGTGGGTGGTGGATTGACTGATAGCTGTTATCTGAAATTCTAGGCAGATGGGATTTAGGAGGAGCTGCAGATGAGCTCCCGGGACTTTTAAAGCAGAGCCTTCCAGCTCGTGGACTGTGGGCTTTCCTTGGTGGTGGGGGCCTGGGGGAGGCTTATCAGATCTTTACTGCCGGTGGGTGTGTGTCTCCCTTCCCCTGCCACTCTCCTACCCAGCCAGCTTTGTCCTGTCCTCTTTTGCCAAGTGACCCCACCTATCATTTAAAAACTGGGGGTACTCATCGCTATTCAGTCTCCGCAGCAATTCAAAGAATCTGTAAAATGGGAACAGCAGGGCCCAGCCTCACAGGTGGTGTGTGATATTGAAATGAGAGTCGCCTAAGCGGAAGCTGAAAACGTGTAATTAGCATTACAAAGGGATCAAAACTTTGCCTTTCCTGGTCCTTCCCACAACACTTTGTACAATTGTATTCTGAGGTTAGATTTTGAACTTAATTGAAAACTCAATCGACTTTTAAGAATTTTCGAGTACATTTGTGTGCTTTCAGGAACTCTCTACATAACTTAATGCCAATTAAAAGAAGGTGAATGACTAGTTGACTGGTGAGTTAGATCTTTGACCCTTGTTGTTGGTAATTGTGTGATTGGGCAAGTTGTTTCACCTGTGAGAGTTCAGTCTTCTCAACTGCAAAATGGGTGTAAAAACAGGTTTTTGTGGATGCGTTTTATTGTACATTAATGACCATCAGGCACTAAAACTTACTGTTTGAATCTTACATGCTTGCATGTTTACGTGGTAAATCAACTCAGCTAACACTTCTCTGTGGTGACATTATAATCTGGTTATCTGGTATGGGATAAATAAATGTTTAATTAACTCTTATTTCGGTAATGATGCCTCACACTGCATCGTGCCTCTATTTATAAAGGTAAAAAACCACGGCGTTTTTGCCTTCATCAACTTGCAGATAATCTTTCTTCCAAGGGCAACACAATGAGTTCTTATCTGCTTGGAGTATTACATAGGAAGCTTTAGCTGAAGTTGAAAGTTAATTGAATTTTGTCTTATGATGTCTTACAGGTCCCGGGGGGGACCTGTAGTTGGAGGGGGCAGTCTTGCTGGAGGCAGAGACATCGTTGCCCTCACGGGCAGACACTGTTCTTCATAGATGCAGAAAGATCCTCACACACATACACAACCCTGCCAGGGCTTACTATCACCCCCCTTTTGGACGCCAGGACCAGTTCACAGAAGTTAAGCAACTTGCCTCAGACTGGCCAATCAATAGCAGAGACAGGACTTGACCTCCAAACCTTGAGTTTTGAGAGACCCTTGGCCCGGTACACCGGTTCTGGTGGAGTCCTGCTGGGCCTCTATCTGTTGGTTAGTAATCATGTCCCAGAGCAGGTGCCAGCGCTGCTACTTTCTTAAGCACAGTCCCGTGGGGTGGACCCCTTTTCACAGTTGAGAAGACCAGGGCTGGCACAGGAGAAATAGCTGGAGCAGGGAGCTGAGGCCCACACCCTGTCCCCAGTGTTCTCAGCAGCCTGCCAAGACTCTGGCACCAGCTGTCTGCCGCTGTCCGTCTGTCTTCCAGCATGTGGGTTCCTTCCAAGGACCTCCTTTTGTTTTTTTTTTTTTAAAGATTTATTTATTTATGCATACAAGAGCTGGGGTGCAGGCCAGAG